CAACAATTGCATTCACGTCAAACGTGTATTTTGATGGACGACCAGCAGTGCGCTGTGTTATGTTTTGTGATATTACGTATGGATATATTTGTTTCTTTACGAAAGGCGATCTGAGTACCTCGATTGCAGATTGCATTGCAGATCGATTTGCGTACCTCGATGGCAGATCGCATGCCATTCCTGTTTTCGTTCCAGCGAAGATACAAGTTCTTCCGAGCAAGAAATGTGTTTTTCATCCCAAGTTTAAGAAGGATTTTCCCCCAGAAGCCATCCGACTTTCTGTAAGACTCTCCGTGGTCGCCAGACACATTTGACATGGCTGCAACAATTGCATGCACGTCAAACGTGTATTTGATGGACGACCAGCAGTGCGCTGTCGTGATATTACGTATGGATATATTTGTTTCTTTACTAAATATGGTTAATTTACAATCAACGGAAAGCTATTAGGAACTATAAAAAATATTGTCATTATTGCACTGAACAGAATTCATTACGAAATTTAAATATACGTAAATGTAAATAAGTATGTCCATTATTTAAGGAGTGTCGCAGAATTCACTGAGTTCGTCCAGAAAATTGATCTGCACTCTGATTCGGTTTGTTTTATGGAGTTTATTAGCAATGAACAATCTACACAATCTCCCCGACTATTACAAATTTGAGTCTATTTATATGTTTACATTTCGTGACTTACGTGCACTACTACAACATGAATTAATTAAGAGAGAAAATACTTAGGAAGTGTTAAGTATATACACCCTAATTTAATTATAATTTTGGCACACATAAAACTCTGCATGGGAACTTATAAAATCTGGCATGCAATAAAAAATATAAATGAAATATCCTAAATTATACAACACTCTCCCCCCCTTGACTCACTCAGGAGTCAAGCATCGCCCTAACCTTCCACCTGGCGTCCAAAGCCGCCTTTCTCTTAGTCTTCTCCTTACATCCGCTAACCATATCCTCCTTAACAACCCCTTCAACCTTACTCTCGTCTTTAACCTCAACTGGATATAAATGCTGAATCGCTCTATTCAACACCTGGCGACGACCGTTTGTCATCACGCAAACCCTTGCACCACGAACGACCTTATCCTTGCCACAAATCAATTCCTGAATCACACCTGTCTTCCACTCCCCCCTTTTCTTACCCTGCTCAAACACAATGACCACATCCCCTGGCTTAATTATCGCCGACTGTTTGTCTGCCATCCCAACCTTATGAAATTCCCGAAGATTCGTGAGATACTCCCGTTTCCACCTGCTCCAAAATGCTCCAGTATGGTACTTAAATGTTTGAATCGTGTCCTAGTGTTTGTTCTAGTCGAATCTTGTCCTAAATCATTAATTTTGAGTCCTTGCTATCGGGTAATGTCACGATGCGCCTACCATAGACTAAATGTGCAGGAGTAAGTACTTCACTATTCACTTCCTCGTACTCATACGTTAAGGGTCTAGAATTCAAATTAGCTTCAACTTCAGCTAGAACAGTTGTCAGTTCGTCGAAAGTAAGTTTTGCATTGCCCAAAACTTTCCTTAAACAGACTTTCACTAGCCCTATCATCCTTTCGAAAAACCCTCCCACCATGGGGCCCTCTCTAGGTTAAATCGCCACTCAATGTTCTTAGCGCTAAGGCAATTATCTACTTCTTCGCATTGAAATAAGTCGCGCAACGTCTTTTTTGCGGCTTTAAATGTTTTGGCGTTGTCAGAAACAATAAGTTTCTGTGTTCCAAACCTTGCAAAAAATCTTCTTAAACAGCGCAGAAATGTCGCTGCACTCAAATCGTGCACTAACTCTAAGTGAACCGCGCGTGTCACACAGCAGGTGAACAGCGCAATGTACACCTTGCTCATACTTGCCTTTGTTTTACGTACAAAGGTCCTGCAAAATCTACGCCTGAATTTTCAAATGGTGCGGCTCTCCTAACCCTAAACTCTGGTAACGCTGCTTGCTTTATTTGTGTACACGGCTTACTGTTCCATCGTTTACAAGCTACACATCCACCGCTCACTCTCTTAACTTCCTGTCTGCCCTTGGGTACCCAATACTTCGACCTCAGTTGCGCCAACGTGCTCCGAACTCCCCCATGCATAACAGATTCATGACACTGCCTAATCACTAGCTCTGTGAAATACTGTCTCCTAGGCAAAACAATCGGCTCTCTAGCTTCTGCCTCCAAATCTGATTCACCCAATCTTCCCGTACAATGCAGTATCCCGTTCATTTCTATCAGTCCGTACTGTCTTTCTAACTGCTTAAACTCGGGTTGCTCTCGTAACTCTAGCTGGGCTGACTTTATCCACTCGCATTCTCCATCATTCATTTCGCTCGCTTTTATTGGTCCGGTAAAAATTTCTAATCCTAGTCTTTTTTGTTTCAAATTATAGACGAATCTCTTCACCCACGCAGTAACTCTTAACAGCCGTGTAAGTGTGCTGTATTTACTTATGCTAATGACATTGCCAATTCCAAACAATGACCTTGCACTTATGATTAGGTTAACAACAAATGACCTTTTCTCTTCAACCTTGCTGTCTACTGTGGGAACTATCTCCTTCACCATAGGATAATGCCTTGGACTACCCCGCAACCAAGACGGTCCTGACCACCAAACCTCCGCGTTCTTTAACTCAGTCATCAAGACCCCTCGCGACCCTAAATCTGCAGGGTTTTCCTTACCTGGACAATGACTCCACTCTGTTTTGAACTAAGCCTTAATATTTCGTCAACTCTATGCTGAACAAATTGCTTCCAATTGCCTGAGTTGACTATCCAATACAAAACAGTCATACTATCAGTCCAATACTTAACGCCCTCAAAATTATACTCTGACTCTAACGCTTTCCTGACTGCAGACATTAAATGAGCCAATATTCTAGCTGCCATTAATTCTAACCGCGGAATACTAAGTTCTTTCATCGGGGCTACTCTTGTTTTGCTGGCAATCAACTTAACACGAACATCGTTACCGTTCAAAACTACTAGATACACAACCGCACAATAAGCTCGCTTTGACGCATCCCCAAATCCATGCAAAAAATATCTCTGCTTTGATTCTGAGCCAGATGTGTCAGTCACGCCGCTCGAGTACCTGCCTATTGAAACACTCTTTACCTCCTTTAGATCTCTCAACCACTTCTCCCACTTCTCTTTCACACTTTTAGGCAATGTATCGTCCCAATCCACGCCACTGTAACAAATATCTTGAAAGAGAATTTTAGCTTTAACAATCGTAGGACTCAAGAGCCCTAATGGATCGAAGATACAAGCTAACAGACTCAACACATTTCTCTTCGTCGGTTCCGTGTTTTCCGCTTTCGCACTCAAATTTTCGAAATCGAATATTATTACGTCCCCGACGCTATCCCATTCCAACCCTAATACTTTACCAAATTGACCCTGTACTTGAGCAAGCGTGGTTTTCGCATACGTTTGCTCATCAACGCAACTACTTTCCACGTCACGCACATCTTCTTCAATTTGCGATCTTAACGCACTATCATTAGTCCGCCATTTGCGTAACTTAAATCCGCCTTCATTCATGCGTTCGTTGGCCTTACGATATAGCTGATACGCTCGCTCTGTACTAGATTCACCGCTGGCAAGATCGTCCACGTAAAAGCTTTTAGCAGTTTTTCTGAAAATTCCCTATCGCACTGTAAATATTTGCTAATATGATGCCTTAACGTCGAATTAAGCAAAATGGTGACGAATTCACCCCAAATACGACTCTACAAAACGGTAAACTACAAGATTCAAATTGTTGCGCAGTACATCATCTACCCACAAAAACCTTAGGCTATCTCGATCCCTTTCGTGCACTTCAATGTTTAGGAAGGCCTTCTCTATGTCCGCTATTAGCGCTATTCTTTGCTCACGGAACCTAAGCAGAATATCAAACAAAAGTGGATTAAGTGAAGGTCCGATATGCAAACAATCATTCAAAGAGACACTTGACTTGAGTACTTTAGCGCTTGCGTCATAAACCACTCTAACCTTTGTCGTCTTGGCATCCTTTCGCACGACAGCTTGATGAGGCATGTAATGTATTTTGGCATGAGAATTAATCACACTATCTTTTCCTACCCTCTCTATGATGCCTAACTCTTCTTGGGCCTTAATGATAGTGTCATATTCCTTCAGTAATTCTGGGTTCTTACCTAGTCGTCTGATTTGTCCCTTCATTCTCTTAAGACTTAAGTCATAGTTAGTAGGTAAAGGATCGTGACCCTCCCTCCAGGGCAACCCCACTGAATAACGCGTACCGTCAAAACTAAGATCGTTTATGACCGATTCATGCACATCACTTACTTTGTCCTTAATTCCTAGGCTTTCTAAATCCCAAAAGTTTTCTACGTTGATACAAGTTTTATTAGCGGAGCAAAAATTTACCTGAGCAGTGGCGGGTTGATTCTTATCCGTGCTTCCAACCGGCCCTGAAACTACCCATCCAAGCACCGTCTCGATAGCCACAGGCTCCCCCTGCTTCCCTCGCATAATACGACCTTTCTGCAACGACCACAAGTAATCCGCACCCACGAGTACGTTTACCTCCAATTCCTCATTTACCTTACAAACATCAGACAACCACAACCCCTTCAAATGTTCAAAGTTATTTCGAACCACCTCCAAATGTTGATTACTAATTACTGATATTTCTGGTACAACATATGCCTCGATAGATACGACTTCACCACCCGACAACGAACTCAAATCCAATCGCACAACCCTTCTCAACTCGTTCTCTAAAGCCCTTTTCCCAAACGTTCCTATTCTCAGATTTTCTTCACGAACGACTTTACATCCCAACGCTTTAGCCGTCCTTTCAGTAACAAATGATCTCTGACTCCCAGAATCCAACAAAACCCTTACTCGTCCCGACTTACTACCAACCAGTTTTGCTTGTGCAGTTTGCAAAGCAACATTGCATCCTGCTTTTCACAACTATTCTTAGGACTTACAAATAGAGTATTACTACTATTGGCATCTACATTCTCAACCTCCTTTGTCCAACAGTTCCCTGGGGCTTACTTTCCTTTCCCGAATCACACAGAGCCTTGTGGTGATTCTTCTTACATATACTACATTTAATATTGTTGTCACAGTCACGAGCCTTGTGGCCCTTTTCCAAACAAATATAACAACGACCGTATTTCTTAATAATATTCTTACGTTCCTCAATTGACTTGATCTTCTCACATTCTTCATGCCGATGACATCCCAGGCAGAATGCGCAACGAACCGGTCCCGATTTTGTCAGGAGGGCGCTTGCTGTTTTTGTATCGTTCCGCCTGGCTCCATTTGATGACTTCTCAGGATCACCATGCCGTTCTCGTTGCTCTCTCTGAACTCGATGCTCTTCTCGCAGCTCAACTTCGCACTTTAACGCTCTTAACATATCGTCCATATCCCACTGATGGAAGTTTTCGCCTCTCGTGATCAACAATCGAATCGATTCCGGTATCAAGTTCAAAACGTAAGGTACCACGATTGATGAATACGTAGCGCTGTCCACTCCCAATGCATCCAAACCTCGATGATGTGCTTCGACACTATCACACAAGTGACGAAGAGACGTAATATCTCTCGGACCTTTCACTCTATCTAAGTTCAAAAGTTTTTGCATGTGCGCTCGTTGGACCGATTCTGGCTTCCCATAGCGTTCCTTCAACGCGTCTATTGCAGCGTTGTAGTTTGCCGAAGTCAAAGAATATCCCGCGATACATGACTTCGCTGGTTCGCCTAAGAGTCCCCGAAGATAATTGAATTTGTCAACATCGGACAAACTTCCATTTCCGTGAATGGCGCTTTCGAAGGAATCCCAAAACTCCTGCCATTCGCAAACATTTCCATTGAACCGCTTAACGTGCAGCTTTGGCAATTTTGCGCAAACTGTTCTATTGGTCACCGACGCTCCTCCGTCAGACCTTAACGAACTGTTCATTCTATTTTCCGAAGCGCAATTGCCGTCAATCTTTTGGCGAAGCTTCCTCGCCATCGACTTTGCTTCAGAACTTATTCTTCCAGCTTCCTCGACTTCGCTGACAATGTCAAGTTCTGACGCTTCTTCGTCCCCAGCAATCAAGTTAAGGATGTCTTCATCCAGTTTTTGGAGCATAGCGACTGTCTCCAAGATTTTGTCGCGTTGCTCTTCCGCGTCATTCTTTCTTCGTTCATCGAATGCGTCGACTAAGCCTGCTGCCGACGCCACAACTTTCGTCAGGTAACCGCGATGACCTGCTCGTACTCTTTTCTTTCTTGCTAACTCCTCCATACTATCCGGCTCGAAGGACCACTTGTCGCAGAATTCACTGAGTTCGTCCAGAAAATTGATCTGCACTCTGATTCGGTTTGTTTTATGGAGTTTATTAGCAATGAACAATCTACACAATCTCTCCGACTATTACAAATTTGAGTCTATTTATATGTTTACATTTCGTGACTTACGTGCACTACTACAACATGAATTAATTAAGAGAGAAAATACTTAGGAAGTGTTAAGTATATACACCCTAATTTAATTATAATTTTGGCACACATAAAACTCTGCATGGGAACTTATAAAATCTGGCATGCAATAAAAAAATATAAATGAAATATCCTAAATTATACAACAAGGAGCCTTTGCATTGAACTCCAGCAGTGTTGTGTAAAACCTCCTTAAGTTAGTATATAGAAGATATAATAAATATTTAATAAAACTTTTACAACAATTTACACAACACTCAGAATCTTGGTGCTCTCACTAGTTAATCCTATCAAGTGTCTTCCGCATCTTATGCTGTGATGGAGAAAGTTTTAAGACCACAACGTTTTGACACCAATCCTAACGCTCAAGACGCTGCTAGATCGTGGTTGCACTGGTTTGCTACTTTCAAAAATTTTGTAGCTGCTATACCTAACGAAGAAGTGAACAAATTAAAGGTTTTAGTCAATTATGTTTCTGCCGACGCTTATCAACTTTTTTGTGAAGCGACAACCTACGAGGAAGCTATAGAATTGTTAAAATATCTCTATGTTAAGGTTCCTAATAGAGACCTTAAGATTTCACGACGCGCGTTACAACGACGCGAGTTTGGCGCGCATGGCCTGGTGCGAATGCGTCCGCGTGTCATTGTAAGTTAAGTCATTAAGATTGGATTTCCTTAACGACGCGAACTTGTGAGTTCACTACCTTTACTTTCAAAAAAATGGCCTCCTTCAAAAAAACAAGAAATGCTATAGCTGTTGCGTATGACGCCGCTTTGATAAACGAAGAAGAATTTGCGCTTTTGTATGATATTTCGCGTTCAAATAACCCAGAATTAAAACATGGCGACTATTCATCTTTTGATTTGGAGGAAATTGATGAAGTTACATGTGCTGTAGACTTTCGTTTTAAGAAACACGAAATTCCTTTGCTGGCTGAAGCGTTAGAGTTTCCTCATCGTTTCAAATGTAAACAAGGAACAGTTTGTGATGGGCTGGAAGCTCTCTGCCTTGTCCTTCGTCGGTTTGCTTATCCATGTAGATACAGTGATCTAGTACCGCTGTTTGGAAGGTCTGTTCCAGAACTCAGCATGATCATGAATACCGTTGTTGATTACATTTTTGAGAGGCATGGGGACAAAATAACCAGCTGGAATCACCAGTTGCTCAGCCCAGAAAATCTGAAGATTTATGCTGAAACCATCCATCAAAAAGGAGCAGCTCTTGATAATTGCTTTGGTTTCATTGATGGGACAGTAAGGCAGATTTGTAGACCAGGTGAAATGCAACGAATAGTGTACAATGGTCACAAGAGGGTCCATGCTCTTAAGTTCCAATCAGTTACACTTCCAAATGGAATAATTGCAAACATGTTTGGACCAATAGGTAAATGCAATGTCAAGGGTAAATTCTGTTGAAAAACAAACTGAGTTATTTTTCTTTTAGAAGGAAGAAGGCATGATTCTGCCATGCTGGCTGAGTCAGGACTTCTGAATGACCTTGAAGAGTTTGCTCATTGGAATGGAAAACCCATGTGCTTATATGGAGATCCCGCATATCCTCTGCGCATTCATTTGCAAGCACCATACCGAAACCTACCACTAACCATGCCAATGGAAGAATTCAATAAGTCAATGAGTGCTGTGAGAATATCAGTGGAGTGGATTTTTGGTGACATTATAAACTACTTTAAATTCCTTGATTTTAAGAAGAATCTAAAAATTAGCTTAAGTTCTGTGGGCAAAATGTATATAGTTGCATCACTGCTTAGAAATGCTCTAACTTGTCTTCAATCAAATATGACAAGTGATTTTTTTCAGTTGGAGCCACCCTCTCTTCAAACATATTTCTCATAATTTTTTTTGTGAATATTTCTTGTTTCTCATACATTGTAATTACAAATTATTTTATTTGTCTGCAATTTTTGTGAAAAAAAACATGATTAGTTTATTTGTCAGCAATTTTTGATAAAAGAGCTAGTAGGGCTTGTGATTGTTGTTGCTGTTGTTGAACCAGTAACATTTGATTTGCTTGAATTTGCTGGTTTTGTTGCCTTTGCAATTCAAGCATGTTTTGCAGCAACTGATTTTGTTTCTCCATGAATTGCTGTTGACTTTCTTTCTGATTCTGTAATTGCATCCTTTGTATTTCTATTTTCTCTCTTTCCAATTTTAAGCTTTCCTCTCTTAATTTTCTTTCTTTCTCCCCCTTTTCTCTTAGAAACTCTAAAGTAGAAACTCCTCCTTTCCTAACTTTTTTTCTAGCACCACCTTGCTCGCTTTCCTTTCGCTTCCTGGTTTCGGATAGGTTTTCCATAGCCCTTCTTCTTATCTCTTCTGCTGCTTCTTTGTCTGCATTATTTTTTCTTCTTTCTGCAGCTGTAGCCTCAGCAGCAACAACATCACTAGCTTTTTCTCTAGAATGAATTTCTTCGAGTAAATCATCCAGCTCAGTTGCTTCTGGAGAAATGCCACTTGCATTTATTTCTTCTCTTTCTTTCTTGCAATAGTTTGCAAGCAATTTTCGCACTCTGTCTCTAACAGCACGCTGGTCAACACGAAAGAAAAGGTGGTCATGTTGCTCTAACTTCTTAGCAATGGCTTCCCACACCTTTCCTCTTTCAAGGGATTTTTTTCTTGTTTCAAAAAGTCTTGACACAACAACTTCTTTGCACAGTTCGACATCATGCTTTTCTGTCCACTTCATAACAAAACTGATTCTAAAACAATTTAGAAATATATAGTAGCCAAAATTGATATATCAGACTATCAGTACCCGTTGCATAGTATTTTTATGCAAACATAGAAGGGAACACAAACCGTTATTACAAAGTAAGACAAATTTCAAAGCCACTGGATGTTAATTTGGCCAAACAATAAATTTAACTCACGGTGAATTTCGTGGTGTACTTGATGAGCAATCACTTGATGCTGATGAAAACTGTTCTGCCATTTTCTTGCCTTGCTAAAAGCAAAAATGTAAAAATATTTTACTCACAGATAAATATCAACACATCAATCACTTACCAGACTCCACAGACAATTGTAACAGGTGAATTAAAAGCTGAAATACTTACTTTAAAACTTGTTTTTCTGAAAAATTCCACACTCGATGTAGGACGACGTGAGATTAAGCAAAGACGCCGCGTTGTAGAAGCACGACAAACCTCAACGACGCACGCACATGCGCATTGGTTTAAATTTCATTTCCGCTCGTGTTGTAGATGAGCGCGTCGTTAAATCTTAAGGTCACTAATGAGATATTTTCGCGACATAAGTTAGCTACTCGTAAACAACAATCTGGCGAGAGCCTGGATGAGTATTTGCAAGAATTAAAATCGCTAAGCAAAGATTGTAATTTTCGTAGCGTGACATCAAATCAATATCGAGACGAAGCTGTACGAGACGCGTTTATAGCAGGTCTTCTTTCAACTAACATCCGCCAACGTCTTCTCGAGAATAAAACATTAGACCTTCAGACAGCTTTTGATCAAGCCCGAGCCTTAGATACAGCACAGAGAACTTCTGAAACTTTTGCAGACGGAATTCCAATAACAGCTGCTGCTCTATCAAACAAGGACGGGGAGAATTCGTTTATTAATCAACGGGCATTCGAAAACCAAGATAAAACTGATCAATCTGACGGACATCAAGAGAACAACGGCATAGAAAGGTACGTTGCCGCCTCTTCTAGATCAGCGAAATGTTTCTTCTGCGGTAATCGACCACACCATCGTTCCGCATGCCCGGCTAAAGACGCCTATTGTTATAAATGTAAAAAGAAAGGACATTTCCAAAGAGTATGTAAATCGGTCGCTCCTCAGGCTTCGTATATAGCATTAGCATCAACTAAACATACAGTAGCAAAGTCACTATAGAAAGCCTGTATTGATGTCTTGATTAATGGAAAATCTTGCAAAGCTCTAATTGATTCGGGAAGTGCACATAATTTTATACATCCCAAAGTTGCAAGTAACCTGGGATTGAACGTTTATACAACTCAAGAGAAAGTAACAATGGCTGCATCCTCAGCCATATGCCTAATTTTTACTCATAATAACTTTAATGTTCCCTCAATATCAATTTTTACTCATAATAACTTAAAATGTCCCCTTTTTTCTCATATTTCTAAACTTGTCTTTTATAGACACCCCGTTCTTATGCTTCGGATGAAAATTGTACTCGTCACGAATTTTCGCCCATTTTCTGCCATGTTTATTATATCCTTCTTTAATAAATTCCTCTTCCTCTTTAGACCACATTACACGTTCTCTTTTTGATCCTGAAAACATGAAAAATACGCCAGGTAAACTTTGGCATCAGTCAGTTTATGACTGGCCATAACGTACCTAATTTGGTTGCTACGATTTTCTTCATAGAAAGATCGTCTTCATCATCATCATCATCATCCCTAGCATCATCATCTATTGTAGAAACAAATTTTTGCTTATTGAAATTTCTTAAATAAAATTAAATATTTTTTCAAATAGTACATAAATAGATAATTCTGAAGAACTTCCTCGTTATACATAAAAACAAGGCTAAGATGTGTATGTATTGAGTAGTACAGAGAAAAACAAGAGTCTTATAAATTCACTGCAATCTTCAACATTTATAAGCTTTATTATTTTCCTCTAACTTCGTTGCTCAGAAAAAAATAAAATTGTTTAATCATACATGATTAGCGAGTTAAGATTATCGACAAATGCATGCCAGGGCACATGCAGGCTCAACAGGCATAATTTTTGTACAGCACTGAGCTATCACTAGCTATATAATGTCACGTTTACCCCCCTCCCCCCCCCCCAGGAAATTAATTGTCTGTAAAGATATAGTAAATAAACAAACAAAAAATTAAAACATTATCTATTGCACGAACGATTTTTTGTTGATCCTGTAAAGATATAGTAAACTACGCGCACAATAATAATTTCATGACACTTTTTGCAAATATTTTCCACTTATTATTTTATAAACAGATTTGTTTGTAAAAGTTCTACATTTTTTGCTTTTATCATATAGTGGAATGTTTTCTTTTTGCAACAACATACAAAGTTTATGATGATATTATACATGAAACTTTTATATCAGTTTGTGGAAGAAAATGACTGATTCGTATACCAACATAGAAAAGACTTGTGATATATATACGTATATAAATTAAATCATAACAAGACCTACATTATCGCAAAAGTTAAATTGAGCGATTGAAAATTTAAATCGTCTTATATTTCTCTACTATAGAAAGCAGGCTGCTTTGTTAAATCAGTAATAGAAAAATTACCTCCTCTTCATCACCTCCTCCTCCTTCTTCTGAATTATGATTGAAAGTAATAGGTTATATGCATTGAACAAAATAGTCACTGGAGACTGAGAGAAATCATTGGATGAACTATGATTGTAATTATCTTTATTTCTTTCCTAACCACATTAACTGTGTTCTCCACCGGGGAAATTATGATGCTGTGGATTCTCATCAGTTCAAGCAACATGATAAAGTGATGCTTCTATGGCCTTAACCCTATCATTGTTATCAAGAAGGTTTTCCCTCACTGAAAGCCCATAATATTTTGCGAAGTATCTAGTTTGCTTTTACCTTTCATTTATCATCTTTTTCATGTTTCTTGAATAACCCTGTTGAAAGAATGCAGTGTTAGTCAGGACGAAAAATATTTAAAAATATTTCTTAACTTTTAAACAATAAACATACCAAATTGACATGGAAAGTTCTTATATCAATTATTTTGAAAAAACTATCACCAGGCAGATTTTGTTTATTCGTTTTTTTTTCACCCAGCGCGTAAGGCAATCGTTAAACTACTTTTCTTACATTAGCAGTTACCAGTGAAATTAATTGGCGTTCTTGAGATTGGTTTCTTTACGCATTAGGTACTGAATTTAGTACTTTTATTTTATGCTTGTACTGTTTTTATTTTTCCATAAAGGTTTAACACACATATGATTTGGTGTATGTAAACTGTAAGAATGATTTCATAAGAAAAATATTGATTACGTTCCATTTCATATACAGCGATCTTGTACATTGTTTTATCCCTGGTTAAATGTTTTAAATGTAAATGAATGTAAAATTTTAAAGCGACTATGAGGAAAAACTTTTTAAATTGTACAAGAAATTTGCTTTAGTTAACAAAGTAGGTATCGTCTTCTGTCTTCAGCACTTTCTGTCGATCCCGAACGTTTAGGTTTATCGTCTTCTGTCTTCAGCACTTTCCGTCCATCCCGAACGTTTAGCTTTATCGTCTTCTGTCTTCAGCACTTTCTGTCGATCCCGAACGTTTAGCTTTATCGTCTTCTGTCTTCAGCACTTTCTGTCGATCCCGAACGTTTAGCTTTATCGTCTTCTGTCTTCAGCACTTTCTGTCGATCCCGAACGTTTGGCTTTATCGTCTTCTGTCTTCAGCACTTTCTGTCGATCCCGAACGTTTAGCTTTATCGTCTTCTGTCTTCAGCACTTTCCGTCGATCCCGAACGTTTAGCTTTATCGTCTTCTGTCTTCAGCACTTTCTGTCGATCCCGAACGTTTAGCTTTATCGTCTTCTGTCTTCAGCACTTTCTGTCGATCCCGAACGTTTAGCTTTATCGTCTTCTGTCTTCAGCACTTTCTGTCGATCCCGAACGTTTAGCTTTATCGTCTTCTGTCTTCAGCACTTTCTGTCGATCCCGAACGTTTAGCTTTATCGTCTTCTGTCTTCAGCACTTTCTGTCCATCCCGAACGTTTAGCTTTATCGTTAAATGCTAAAGCCTACATCAACGTGTCATTATCCACGTGAAAAAATTTCATAAATTGAAGATTCTCATAATGTTATCACACCCATACTCAAAGGAAATCGAAAAACTAATTCTCGCTACATATTCGGCAATTTTTGTGTTGTTTTTTGATGATACTATGATAAGTAGCGCAGCAACGTAGCTAAGTTCTGAAAAAATAATGTGACCCGATTTTGCCAAAACTTAAAAAAATAATTTGTGCATTTACTTTCGAATCTTACCCTGCTTCAATCCAGCAGGTTACCTAAGGACCGAAATACTTTTCGAACATTTGCGTTAAATTTTGTGAAATGTTATAGAAATGTCTTGTTCGAAGATCACACTGTAAGAGATCTGAAAACCATGTTGCATAAATAGTTACAGCTACTTCCACATCAATTTTAAGTTTCGTGACAGCTTTTAAAGCTCTCGTACAGTTTGGTAAAGTTGTGGATATTAAAACACAACAACAAACCATATAGGCATGTGCATGTAAAATGTACGTAAATTTTGTTTAGTGTATAGTTATATTTATAGTTAACCGCAGGCCGTTACGAAGGACAGTGTGTGCGGGCGGGGGACACACTCAAGTAATATTTTCGGCTAAATAAGGCTTGTTTAAACATGTACGTAAGCGTGAAAAAAAAACTTAATCTTATTTGTGTTGAATAACCATGTGGATGTAGTTCCTTTCAGAAGACCACGCCGTATAACCACATCCATTTTCGAAAAATTTGATTTCAACTCTTCGACACGGCCTTTGGTTAAGTCATACTCAAGCTTTCGTATTTCATAATTAATCTAAACTTTGGTTTCTCACTCCCAGGCGAAAACAAAATGCCTTTGTTTCTTTCTTTCGCTTATTTCTTATTTGAAATCAGAGTTATTACTGTTTAGTTTAAGTGTGTTTTTTTAATCTAAGAAAGTTTTATTGTTTTCATTTTGTTTTGAAATTTCATGTTTTATATAAGTAATATGTGTTTGTCTATAGTGTTGAAGATATATTGAATGTAAATGTCATCATCTCTTACTTACACTTGTATTGAAAGTTTCCAATAATAGAAAAGTGTAAATTTTCAATCTTTATTTTGTCTTAATTTTTTGTGCAAGCGTGGATTCGATAAGCTGCGTGATTTTACACCTTTCGGCATTTCCTTTGTTGTGTACGACTTTGATAAAGTAGGTCAGGTTAATATTTTTGTCAAGTAAAGTAATCAGTTTAATGGACGGTTAACCCCTTCAAAAAATAAAAATGTTTTAGACATTTGATACCAAAGCGAATCCACGTTTTAAGTCCAGCATTGTAACACTGTAGATAAAGTACTGTTTTCAAAAATATATGTTAACAAAAATACATTTAATTGCTTGACTTGGATCGTGATCCAGCACTCTTTTCCTAAATATTTTGTTTTATGATGATTTTGGTCTTACAAATGCAGCAACTAGTTATTGTTCGGAATTTGACATAAAATTTTTTCTGTTGTCATTGGATTACGCTTGTAGTGACGTACATAACGTGCGTATATTATTCATCTAGATTTGTGTATTAGCAATAGAGGAAATAGCTAATCCTACACTTACTCAAACGCGCTACTTAAACTTACGCACTTTACTTTATAATTACGTAAAACTACTCAAATTTCAAGTACATTATCCGCCTTGTAACAACTGCACCTTGTTTAGCCAAATATATAAAAAGCCTGTAAATAAATTGTAACTGATAGAACACTCACGATTGTTGTAAATAACTTCTTCGCTAGTGAATAAAATAATCACAAAATTTAACAGCGTTCTAGTACATTGAACTCACGTTCGGAGCTCATACGAAAGACATATATAACACTAAATTGGTGACCCCGAAAGATATTCTTGACTGGCGAAATGGCTACAACTGATGAACCTAACGCTTCTTCAAGGACAGATTCTTCATCTGTCACACCAACCGCTTCTATGATCAGCATCAAACTTCCACCATACTGGGAAGCTTCATCAACTTTGCAAGACCATTTCTGATCTTGCTGCGTCAGTACAGGCTCTCAATCTTCGTTTCCCTTCATCGTCCGATGTCAATAACCGTTCATCTCGCTCTCGTAATCGGCAACCGAATGATCCCACTCACAGACCATCCAATAATGGTTATTGCTGGTATCACGCCAAATTCGGCGCCACTGCCCGCAAATGTGTTCACCCTTGCACATTTCCATACATCGCTACGGTCAAACTACAACGCCAGACAATAGACGCGGCAACATCGTCTGGCGTTTCCACACAAAGCCGCTTGTTCTTCATTACCGATCAGACCACCAAACGACGATTTCTCATCGATACAGGTGCCGAAGTTAGCGTCATCCCACCACTTTCCGCAGATCGACGACAACGCCAAGCTTATGACCTCCAGGCAGCCAATTCCTCTACAATTGCTACCTACGGCAAAAGGTCAATCACCCTCAACTTTGGACTCCGCCGACCCCATTTTCAATGGATCTTCACCATTGCTGAAGTCCGCCAGGCAATCATTGGCGCTGATTTTTTACGCCATTTCAACCTCCTCGTCGACCTTCGCTCAGGAAGTCTCATTGATGCAGAAACACACATTCGAGTCAATGGAATCGCCACATCAATGCCTTCTCTTTCTCTTGTTCATGCTACACAATCCTCCACACCTTTTTCAACAGTATTACAAGACTTCCCAGAGATCACTCAACCCACCACCAAAGAAACACCAGTGAAACATCAAGTAGTACACCACATTATTACCGAAAGGTCCCCCATGCTCTCCACGTCCATGCCGTCTCCCACCTGATCGTTTACACATTGCCAAAAAAGAATTCCAACAAATGCTTGATCTTGGAATCATCCGCCCTTCCAGCAGTCAGTATGCCTCTCCTCTCCACATGGTTCCCAAGCCACAACCCGGTGACTCTATGTATAACCTGACGTTTACTCCTCGTTTGACTCTGAAGATGACTACCGCTAAGGTTGTCGAAACGTCAGTCAACAACAACAAAAACAGTCCTTCTCAGGACTTTATTAACCTGAAAAGTACCTTGATGGTAAGGAGTGTATGGAGGAGTGAGAGGATTTAGAAAAGCAGCAGCATGATTGTGGAAGAGTTTGGTAGGAGTTGTGAGATTGGGTGGTGAATATACATACGATTTAGATGTTGATGTATAGCCAAAGTCAGGAGTATGGAAAGGTAAGTTAGTAGATGGAGTTTTAACTTGTTCAGGTTGGTTAGTAGCATCAGAGAGTAGTTTCTATTCAAACTTGAAAGACAGTTTCTCTTCAGCAAAGGAGGAGGACCAGGTAAGTTGTACAAGGTTGTAGGCTGATAGCATGTTAAGTAGAGATTTAGGGAATTCATGAGAACTGTTATTGTTCTTTTCAACATACCATTCTATTTTAAGTTTGATCGATTTAGTGTTTATATTGATGTCCCAGGATGGAGAAGAACCAATACCAAGATTTCCAATTAATGAGGAAGCTTGAAAAAGTAAGGGATAGTATTATTTACCAATGAAATCGTTTGGATTCGATGAAATTTTCTTAGGCGTAGTTGGAGTAGGAAGGACACCGTTGAAAATAGGAAGCAAAATCGCTTTAATTATGGGTTTGAAGATTTTCGTAAATAAAAGAAAAAATGTATACAATTCGACTCCAAAAATCTTTTAGAAATGTAGATGAGGTTACCAGGAACACGTAGATACCAAATATAGATAATCCACGATAGATTTAAGAGCTAAAATTTTCGAACGAAGACGAGCGCGTGATCAACAAAACAACCGCCGATCGCACCAATTTATAAACTTTGATTTCTCGGCGAAAAATGAACCAATTTCAGCCAATAAACTCTTGAAATGATCGCTAGACTTTTAGCTAAAACATTATACCACAAAGTAAGGCCAATGAACAATTTTGAAGGAAGAAGATCAAAATTTCGAAGAGCACCGCCGGAAAATTCAATGGCCTTGCATTTTTGACCTTGCTATGGCAAGATATCAGGCCGTGTAATTTGAGTAGGCCATGAACTAGTAATACAACAACAAATATTCAGATATACGTGTACAGGTTAAGATTAAAAGAGAATTCAATTTTTGAAGAGTCGCAATATTTCATCATCCCATCCTTAATGTAATTTAAAATTAAAACATTTATAATTCTTGAAACATTGGCAAACCTTTCAAAAAGTACAAATAACTTACAAAAAATCTTGAAAGGAGAACTCAATATGCAGGTTTATTCAACAGAATCAGCCTGTGAGCCAAGCAGTAATTAAAAAGGAAAATGTTATTTTTTAACCTTTGAACTGGTAGCCTAGCTGTGAAGTATCTTGCCTTAGCAACGATGGGGCAAATTCTATTCTTGTACGAGCAATTTGCATTTGAACATAAATGCGGTATTTTAAAGATATTCGGATAATTTTGTTGTCAAATTGATTTACATAACTTTTTTCATCAATGACGTATGCTTAAGATGACCAAAAAAGGTCATTATATTACAAAATTGAGATTTTTTCTATTGAACTACATAATACATGGAAGGTTGCCTGTAATATAAAAGCGTAATAATTCATTGACTTGAAGCCAATTATGACCAACAGAACAGCGTGTCTGGAGGGGAAAGAACGTATATCACTCGCGCAAACATATACAGTACACGAGACTTACTAGTAAATACGTTTATGCCGAGTCTTTTATGATTAAATTGATTTTGTTCAGAGAAAGAATTATAGTAGAAAAGTGTTTTGGCATTAAAGGTAATGGGGCTGGATCTTTATTCAGTCTTTAAGAAGCTTACTATTGAATACGTTTTTTGAAATGGAAAATATTAACCATGAATACTGTAAAAAAGAGTGACATCATTCATTTGTTTACATCTGAAACATTGCAGCAAGTACGAGTTTATTTCAAAAAAATTCAGTTGGATCTATTCAATAATTTACATGAGTTTCTCCTTGGAACATTATAGGCTTTGTACGTAAACTTTTTAACAGAAACTATTAGATTTTGTACAAAATTGATATTTGAAATAGGGTTGAACGTATGTGTAACTTCAACAACGGTAATTTACCTGGACATCATGAAAGGTTAAAAAAAATTTAGGTGAAGACTTAAAAAATTAAACGCTTTGAAAGAATTTCCTTTGCTGCTTCATTAATTTATATAACATGTGACGGGTATTATTTTCCTTATCATGTAAAACAAAGTTTTGTGTAAGTTTGTAGACACTGAAAATTGTGTTTTTCTCAAAGTAAGTTTGTACGTTCACGTAAACACACTAATAATAATTTAATAGTAAATTATTTTAAAATTTGTTTTTGCCAAATAGAAACAAAAAAAGATTCGTGTTTTGGTTTCGAAGCTTTGCAGTTTATAGCTACAAGTTATTTTTTTGTTCACTTCTATTATCTTCAATAAAAATTTGATGAATATATATTTGACATTTTATATGGCATTTTAGAACATAATGGAAGTAAAAGTAAAAAAATCTCATATTCAAGCACATTATACTACTTAAAAAATCGCTGTAATGCCTATTAAATACTTCATGCACGTAATCGTGTTAAAATAAAGCAGTCAAATCAACCAGTAAAATTTTTTAATTGTTCTATTTTCATATCATGATACACAAAATGAAGTTCAACCAGCTAGATGTTAACATAACAGATAATTTTTAGCAATAAATTGATGAATTTGACCAAGTGACTAATTTACACAAATTCCCGTCATGTCAACGAATTCACACAAATTTATGCTCAAAATTATTGCTGTATGTTTGTTTTTCTAACAAATGTTGATTGGAGAAACTTACAAAACAATAAGTTTGCAAAAACTACAAAAAATTCATTTTCATAACATAATTTTATATATATATATCTTTTACCCTCTTATTTCGCTACTTATAGATGTATATACCTATGTTTAATACGTTTATATTTCTGAAGCAATTTTTATATCTCCTGGGTAACCATTAAGGAATTTTGCATATATAATAAACTATATCAAGTCTATTTTCAGATTAGTAGTTGTAGCTAGTCCAGTCAATTTAAACAGCTTTTGTAATGAATTAAAATTATATTAACATATTCCCTCTTTAACTGGTCATATCAAGTGCGATTTGAATATATATTTATCTTCACTCTCACGTCAATGTTTTAGAGTTATTCAAAGGCCGCGCTAGCTCTGCCTCTGCTATTTGTATATTTTTCAATGTTTTAGCTATCCAAGCAATTTTATCCTTCAACATAAATTGTTTTGTATTCACTAGTGAAGAAAGAACAATTTACCATATACTAACAGACAGTGAAAACATAAAATTTACATATCAGAACGACAGTACTAAAACTTGCACTCTGACTAAGCCACAGAAACTAATCAAATTTTTTCAAATATGAAAAACTATAGTGTTCTTAAAGCACTTAAACATTCTGTGTTTTATGGATGTGTTTGCTTGTTGCTTGCGGTGAAAGCGCAGAAAATATTTATTGATATACAAGCAATTTAAAAATAGAAATGTGCATGTTTTTTATTTATTCTGGCAAATTACCAAAGATCTTTCTTTAAAAAATAATAGTTTACTAAGAATTAGTGTAATTAGTGTATTGTCCTTGTTAAATGTTATTCAAATTAAAGGGTATTAATTCATACAGCGACGAAATGGAATATGTTACACGAGCGTATGATGTAGAGATAAAACATTTCCGGCTGATGTTCTGATTTAACAAGTTACTCTTTGTTACCTAATCTTAAAACATAATCACTGACGATGTTGTCCAATACGTATAACTTATTACTTTCATTCTTAATTCAGGAGAAAACAGTAATGTAAATGAAGAACAAAGAGAGGAAGAGGTAATTATTTTAATAATGATTTATCAAAGCAGTTTTCTTTCCTTAATACAGAAATATCAGATGATGTAATGGGGGATGTAGTTAGTTTTGAAGTATCTTTATTGTCGTCAAAATGAACCACCACTATAAACATCACTTGTTCAGTGAGTTTGTATGGTAAAATGTTGTAAGTTACTGTTACAAAAGTGATTAGTTAAAACAACATAGCTTGTTCAGAGAGTTTATATGGTAAAATGTTGTAAGTTACTATTGCAAAAGTAACTAATTTCAAAAGCATGTTACGTACCTATACAAGTTACGTTAACGGTAACTCGTAATATGTTTCTTAAACGTGTAACATTTACAGTAACTATTTACAGGTAATCATATTATTTCTAGTATACGGTCAACAGTAACTCATTTTTTGAGTTGAATAATTCGACAGTTAAATTAAAGCTCTGTTAAGGCGAATTGTCTGGGCGAAAGCGAGGTTTCATATATTATCATACAGACCTTTGCTTTTATCAAGTTAGCGATATGATAATTGATCATTTCTCTTTTAGCAAACGATTGACTTGCAAAGTTGTGGGAAAATGATGGAGATGATCCAAAGCAGGATCAGTCATACCGAAGCATATCCGCATTTTCAATCAATTCTTCAACATTTGCTTCATTTTCCAAGTATTTAGTCGAATTCATGTGGATCTTTTCGTAGTGGTGTAGGGTATGTTAAGTTTTGTTACTTCAAGTGCCCCATTTTTTCTCCGCTACACCACTGACCTTTTGTTGAATATTTTAACAAGAAGGCAGTTGATAATTTATTATATCTATCTGCCTTTGATGGTTTAGTAAGTGAAACGAGTCTTTTTGAATTTAAAAGTTTACCTTTAACACTGTAAACTATATATTTAGGCGAAAATAGAGAAATTAGAAAAATTTGTGGACTGGCGGATTTAGTTATGCAACAAATGTCAGTTCAAAGCGAAGATGAAGAAGGTTTGAGAAATTGAAATGAAGATATTCATTTTGATGGTAATCTTCGGTATTAATGTGTCGTGCATTTTAGAATTGGAAGAATTGCGACAGAGGCTTGGGAAGCTTAACATACATCATAGATAGTAGGAAAGACCAGGTTCGGTGATGCTATCAAATATGTTGAGTTGAGAAGTGGTTGTTGCATTAAAATTTTCATTGAGATCTTGTTTTTGTTTAGAACTGTCAAATTTTGTTATCAAACTAAATACTTCTAACAAACAGTTAGCGCGAGCTGTTCTCACCATAGATAAAGATGGCGAATTATCTGTAGAAATGCTCGAACAGGTAAAATTTCACTTTGACTTCTTGCATGGGAGTTAAAATTTTTACTAACGAATCTATCTTCATCCTTTTTGTTTAGCTCTTCAAGCTCGTACACACTACCCAAGAAAAAAAAAACTGCTCGATGATCATAGTAAGAAGAAAGAACAGCTTGCCAAATCATTCAGATTTTTCGAAATATCCAAGTATGTCGTATATGTGACGTGATCCAAAAAATGACAGTTAAAAGCGAAGATGGCGAAGTTTTGAGAAATTGAAATGAAGATTTTCATTTTGATGGTAATCTTCGGTGCTAATGTGTCGTGTATCTGTACCGGCTAACCTTGGTGAAATATTTTACAGAGAACAAAATTATGCAGCAATACTTTCTTCGACGTCTCATGAGAGAATAGATCCCATCATTAGAAACCAGGGCGGATTTAGTGTGAGTCGAGTAACTCACACGAGTAATTCAAAACGTTTGTACAAGAATAATTCGTTTTTTGTATTGTAAAATTAAGCTTTTTGAAATGTGGTCTGTGGTCCATTTCGGAGAATAATGGCCGCAAAAATGCTTCTGAGCCAATCAAAGCGCGCAAGTTTGCCGAAAGTGACGCTTGCCATGTAAGAAAGAATAATTACTATAAACTGTTAAATACTAAAATTCGCAGATTCGGGTGATCTATTCTGGCATTTTAATTGGTCAGGACTCAGGACTTACTTCGGGCTTAAGTGGTCGGACTACTACAAAGGCTTTGACTTTCGTTTCCATGTGATTGGTTAAACTTACTTGACTTTAAGCGTGTGGAAAGGTGGAAAGTCTCACGACAAACTCATTTTAAACGGGATACTTACTTAGACTGCGCATAAGAATGTAAACGTTCGGAATGCGATGAAAAACGATAGTAGGTGAATGTGAAGATTCTTCAATCATTTCTAATCAAGCAATATTTTGATACTTGCTCAGAAAGCCAAGGTTTATATCATTGCTTTTGGTGACAACGATAATAAACGGATCATGTCAGCCGAGATATGACCGCTAAAAGTTACATACTTGCCTGTAATTGTTATAATTCACGGCTTTGAGGTACGAATTTTATTATTTTAGTTACAAATTTCCAGATGAAGCATTGCTTTTGCCACATTTCTTGTATTTATTTTATGTTGTTCTTTGTACGTAAATGTCGATCATGCTTTTTTTAGTGCTCCCTCCATGGGCACAAGATAGTTTTTAGAAGTTTGCATTATTTCAATGTTTCATAAAACTACGGAATTTATATGTGCCATAGCTCTAGCCTCCAATGTGCATAGGTTTTGCTGCGCATTAATGTTTTAGGTTGTTGAAGTGACAGAAATTTGTCCATATTAATCAAACATAATCTGAAATATAAAGATTAAATAAATTACAATTATTAGAAAGTCGCTACTCGGAGTTTTATGCCAAAGCAATCTTCAGATGAAGTTTGAAATTGCTTTTTTCATTGCTTTGGCATGAGACTTCGAGTAAGAACATTTTAAGAATTGTTATTTATTTAGTCATATACGCTCAACTCTGATATTGAGCGCTTTTATTTGCTTCAAATAATTTAATTTACGTAACTGAAAAATATTCTGAAATATAAATATATTGCTTCTTATGCAGAGCTGGTATTTATGTTTATATATCTGATATTACATGAAACTGTGTATACCAACCTGTTTCATTGGTGCTGGTAAGTTATGATAGTTTTATCCATGTTTTAAGGCAACTAACTTCCATTGAATTAGTTTTGAGTTATTTTGAACATCCTGTATTTTTATGTGTTTTGCTCATCAGCAAGGTGAATATATTTAAAGTGACTTTAGGCATCTTTTACTTCTCTTCACATTACATGAGAGTGTTGATTCAGGATTGACTGGGAAAGATTTGGTTAAAATGAACCAATTTTAAATCGCTTTGAGAAGAACTAGTGTATGTGTATTATAGCTGTCTTTTATGGCTTTTATGCGGCGGAGTTGTACAAAAGTGCATGAGTTAGATGTGAACAACACAGGACATGTTAATGCACGTTACCATCATGTTCAAAGCTAAGCCGCCATAATTAACTGTGTTTTCAAAAGTTAAGTATGCTCCATAGGATAGTTAACTTTAACTACCTTTTAACTGCTATTAGCGCCAATTAGTTTTTTATACAACAGACTTAACCGCGTGGTTAAATTTAACTACCTTTTATCTGCAAATAGTGTAGTCAAAAAATAGTTAAGAGCTTTATACAACAGGCACCTGATAATTAAGGCGAGCATGTTATCCTTTAGCAGTTAAGCCTAGATTGAGATTTTATGCTTAAAAGTAGTCGACGATTCTTTTCTGGCTTCAAGTTGTAAATAAAGCTCCAATATACAAAGGCAATTGTTCTTGTTCCATTGTACTTTAATCTTTCGTTCTGCTCTATATGATGATTTACTTTGACTTAGTTTTGAATAATTAAAATCATTATTGTATATAATGCATCTATTAATCAATATTCGTTTAATTTTTCGATGATTCTCCTTGAGTACTTTAGTTCCAAACTATCTACAATTAACAACAAATTTTGACGGTAAGTTTGTAGATTAATGGCGTACATGCGTAGCACATTTGTTGTTCCAATCAATGTAAAAATCTGACACAAAGCTTAAATCTTTTATAGTACAATGGATCAACAAGTAAAAAGAAAGAGACGGTAAGCATTCAGTTAATATTGAAACCACGTCCATAGATATATAAAGACTAACTGTGCGATTGCTGATAAGCCGTCATATTGCGTAGCAAGTGTCATTTCGGAACTTGCAAAATTATTGTTACTCATTTACTGTTAGTGATAAAATACAGACAATAGGTTTTCCGTCTTTTGCTTCGTTTCATTGCCTTATAACTCTTCAGGCCGACAACATATGTAATCGGATCGTCATTACAAATATCTAAAGTAATTAAATTAATCTTAATGCTACATTTAATATAATTCTGATGAAAATATCATTTCCTAAACTTTATGTTAATTGAAAACTTGGTAATTTTGGTGCGTATGCCCACCAATATGATGATTTTATTGGCATTTATCAATCATGAAACATATTACTTTAATGGATAAAGCATTTACAAAAAGTTGAAGATATATTACATAAAAACTTAGTACTTCCTACAATGCCCACACATTTTATAAAACCTAAAATGCCAAATTGACATTGTAGTTAAGAATGCAATCACTAATTTCTGGTAAAAGACATAATGTACTTTTCAATATATGGCATGTAATTATAATGTTGAGTCTAATTGTGAAGCTTAAGTACATTATAAGTAAAAGTTGACATTGATACATGCATTGATGTAGAAAAGGGTAGTTAATTCTTCATGGTTTACTAACAACTAATCAAGCAAGAGACAATGCTGCAGGTTTGGCTAATGATATTTCTTCATTTTTTACTTATAGTACTATCAGTGGCATATCTATCAAATATTTTTTCGTCAGGTCTTGTATACAAAGACCCATGCCATACAAAATCATGATTTTCAATCATACGTAAAGTAAGACATAAGTACTTTATTGAAGTTTCATTTACAAATTGTAAATTAGAAACAAAAATTATAAAGGTTTCTAAGAAGTCAAAATAAAAATTACTGTCTTAGTTTTAGATATCAACTTTATAATAAAACCGTAACTTAGTAATACAACAACAAATATTCAGATATACGTGTACAGGTTAAGATTAAAAGAGAATTCAATTTTTTAAGAGTCGCAATATTTCGTCATCCCATCCTTTATGTAACTTAAAATTAAAACATTTATAATTCTTGAAACATTGGCAAACCTTTCAAAAAGTACAAATAACTTACAAAAAATCTTGACAGGTGAACTTAAGATGCAGGTTTATTCAACAGAATCAGCCTGTGAGCCAAGCACAAAATGATAAGGAAAATGTTATTTTTTAACAACAATGCTATACCACTATTTAAATGAGCAGACATAAGGACAATATCAAAAGTTCTTACAATAAGACATCAACTCAGCTGTTTCTGTCGAAACTAGCATGCACAAATGAAAACTGTCATTAAGTTTCAACACCTTTAAATAGGACAAATACAAACAAATTATTCTTTGGCGGCTGCTTCAGTGAACTCCAAGTAACTAAAAAAAACTACAATTATCCATCACATATAAAAACTCCTTGTAACATCATGTTTAGTCCATCAATTAATTTATTTCGAAAGATGGGAAAGATTCCAGTTAACTGTCTATAATTTTCAAATAATCGTATAAGCCAAGCAACCACATTTTGAGAAAGTGAAACTTTGCACAATATCAAGAAATCCACAAAACTTTCCTTTATGAAAGCTATCATAAGACTCATCATGCACTTTGTATGCAAACTCTTGTCCAGACTGTAAATTGAATAAGCATTTTTATCATTATATCATACCTTTAATTACAAGCTTAAACCACTGATATGTATATTACACTGTATAACGCACCATGTATAAAATCATAGTTAAAACAAACATAGATTGCTGACGTGTATACAATTTATACGTAGCCGGCCGTAGCTAATTGAATATTCCAAGATGGCGGCTCAAGCGAGCAAAAGGACTATAATTTCTATTACGAAAATGAGATTTTTTGCATTTTAAGTCGTTGTACCCTTTGCATCATAAATATAGCCACTTTTTTTCGAAATGGGAAGACATTGCGGAGTTTTTGGGATGTAACCTTGGATGCATCAAAGGAATAACACGACAAATATTGCTTCGTGAAATTGTTAACGAATTGTCACCTGAGACCCATGATAGCACTTTTTTTAAGTCTAGATTTATTCCAAGTATTTTTATGAGAAGGAAATAACTAAAAGTTAAAAATATTGGTGTGTGCTATTTGGACTTCTGATTTAATTGTTAACATACACCAAAAATGGCAGAAACATCCAAAGACCTTAATAGTCAAAACACTTGAGGCTGAGGCGGCTGCTAAGGAAGTACTAAGTTTTTATGTCAACAGTTATGAGGTTTGACCCAATATATTAGTCTCACAGGAGAAGATGGATAATAATAAATGAGAATCAATGATCTGAAATTGGCTAAAATGCTTTTCAATTGATTTGGTAAATGTTTACAAA